TTTGTCCTCCAGTCTTGCTTCTGATCTCTTCCACAATTTCTCTATTTTTTTTAAAATTTCTTTTAAATTTTCTTCCCTAAGGGTAAAATCACAATACTGACAGCATACTTACTACATAAAATTTTCTGGTTTGCTTTAGATTTTCTTACATAAAACCATAATGACACAACATAAAGATAGCATCTCAGATACAGAAGACAGGATTGTAGTTATTGATCACGAAAATTTCCTAAAAATAGCAAGGAACCATGACGAATCAATCCAGCAGCTTCTAGATCATGCAAAGCAGAACAATGTAAGACTGATCAGAGTCAATGAAAATGCAGGAGATAGTGCATATGACAAAAAAATCTGTTCACAAGCATCACGGCAAACACTTCCTTGGCAGGAAAAAAAATTTGACATACAGAGTACAACTCCATAATCTCCAAAAGAATGAATCCACCAAGCAAGGCAAACAAACAGAGAGGAGAGAAAAGCAACCAACAGGAAAATAACATGACAAGATAATTCAATACATATCAGTTACAACCACCAATGTTAATAGTTTCAATTCACCAATCAAAAGAAACAGACTAGCAAAATGGATCAAGAAGCAAGACCCAACAATGTGCTGCACACAAGAAACATTTAATTCAAAATGAAATTCATGGACTGAAAGTCAAAGGATGGAAAACAATACTCCATGTGACAGGAACCTGAAAAAAGCAAAGCTAGCTATTCTATTTTCAGACAAAGTGGACTTCAAGCAAAGACTGTTTCAGAGAGAAAAAGAAGGTCATTATATTGTTGTAAAGGAAACAATCCAAGATGAAGAGATAACAATCATAAATATACATGCACCACATACCAGGGCTCCCAACTACATAAAGCAAGTATTAACAGACTTGAAAAGTCAAATAAATACTAATACAATTGTAATGGGGGACCTTAATACCCCACCACAACAAACAAGACATATCAACTAGATAAAAAAATTAATGAAGAAACATCAGAACTGAACTAAACTTTTGAACAAATGGACTTAGTAGATGTTTATAGGGTTTTCCATCCCATACATCAGAATACACATTCTTCTTAGCTGCACACAGGACATTCTTCAAAATAGACCATATACTAGCCCACAGAACATGCTTAAGTAAATGCAAGGGAACTGAAATTATCCCATGCGTATTATCAGACCATAGTGCAACAAAATTGGAAATCAATGGCAAAAGAAACCACAAAAACTTCATAAACACATGGAAATTAAATAACACTCTCCTGAACATCCAATGGATCACAGGTGAAATTAAAGAAGAAATTAGTTTCTACAATTAAACAGTAATACCAATACAACATAGCGGGGAACTTATGGGATGCAATGAAAGCAGTCCTACGTGGGAAATTTATAGTGGTGAACTCCCACATCAGAAAAACAGACTGAACTCAAATAAACAACCTCATTTTGAACCTCAAGCTTCCAGAAAAGAGCAAGTCAAGCCCAAATCTTGCACATGGGAGGAACTTATAAAATCAGAGCACAGATACATGCAGTGTAGACTAAGAAAACAAGACAAAGAATCAACGAATCAGAGTTGGTTCTTTGAAAGTTTAAAAAAAAAAATCTCAAGTCTTTAGCCAACCTTAGCTAAAAAGGAAAGAAAAGACTCAAATCCATGGAATCAGTAGCATAGGGCCAGTGGTGAAATGGGTAACGCATCTGACTACGGATCAGGAGATTCAAGAATGAAAAGGGTGAAAACAATAGATCCTGCAAAAATCCAGAACTTGATCAATACCTACTTTAAGAATTTGTGTTCTGGGGGCTGGGGGTTTAGCTCAGCGGCACAGCACCTTCCTGGCAAGTGTAAGGTCATGAGTTCGATTCCCGGTACCGGGAAAAAAACAAAACAAAAACCAAAAGAATTTGTGTTCTATTAAGATAGAAAACACAGAAAGGACAGATTACTAGAAATATATTAATTACCAAAGCTGAATTCAAAAGATATAAAAATCCTTAAAAATATACTAACAGTTGCATACAGTGGCACACACCTGAAATCCCAGACTGTGGAGGCTAAGGCATAAGGATCACTGTGAGTTCAAAGCCAGAACTACATACTGAAATTCTGTCTCAAAAAACAAACAAACAAGCCCCCCGCCAAAAAAACTACCAAAAAGCCCAGCCCCTGACAAATTCACTGCTCAATTATACATGAAACTTAGAAGATCTAATGCAGCTATTTCTCAAACTCTTTAATGAAATTGAAAGGGAAGCAACACTCCCAAAATCATTCCTTGAAATAAGCATTATCCTGACACCAAAACCAGGAAAGGAGCCAATCAAAAAAGAGAACTACAGGCCAATCTCCCTAACGAACACAGACACAAAAATCCTCAGTAACATACTGGCAAACAATGCAGCAAATCATCAAGAAGATTATATACCATGACTAAGAAGAATTCATCCCAGGGAGGCAGGGATGGTTGAACATATGCAAATCAATAAATGTAATATACCATATCAACAGAGCCAAAGACTAAAACCATATGAGTATCTCAATAGGTGCAGAAAAAGCATTAGACGAAGTCCAACACCCATTCATGATAAAAATCCTACAGAAAATTGGAATAGAGGGTCTTTATCTCAATCTAATAAAAGCCACCTATGACAAACCAACAGCTAATATCATACTAAATGGACAAAAACAAAAAGTTTTTACTCTAAAATCAGGAACATGACAAAGATGTCCACTGTCACCACTCTTAATCAATACAGTTCAGGAAACAGCCAGAATAATTAGAAAAGAGAACGAAACAAAAGGAACAAGGATAGAAAAGGAAGAAGTTAAATTGTATTTGCTGACAACATGATATTCTATACAGAAGACCCCAAAAACTTCACCAAAAGACTTCTAGATTTATTAACCAAATTAAGTAGTGTAGCTGGATACAAAGTTAATATTCACACTGGAGCAGCTGAGGCAGGAGGATCGCTGTGAGTTCGAGGCCAGCCTTGGCTACAAAGTAAGTGCAAGTCCAGTAGGAAGTACACAGCAAAACCCTGTCTCAAAAAGACAAAAACAAAACAAAACAAAACAAAATAAAAAACAAACAAAAACAAAGTCAATATTCAAAAATCAAAGCCGGGCATGGTGGCTCAAGCCTGTAATCCCAGCACTTGGGAGGCTGAGAGGCAAGAGGATCGTTGCGAGTTTGAGGTCAGCCTGGGCTAAAAAAGTGAGCTCAAGGTAGGCCTGAACTGCATAGCAAGACCCTGTCTCAAAAAGACAGAATAAAATAAATAAAATAAAATAAAATAAAAATCAGTAACATTCCTGTACAAACAGAGGGAAAAAACACCTTCCACAATAGCATCCAAAAAAAAAAAACCAAAAGAAATACTTAGGAACCAATCTAACAAAGCAAGTAAAAGATCTATGTATTGAAAATTACAATACTCTGAAAAAGGAGATGGAAGAGTATATCAGAAAATGGAAAGATATTCCTTGCTCTTGGGTAGGAAGAACCAACATAATAAAAATGGCCATACTCCCAAAATTGTTATACAGACTTAATGCAATACTGATCAAAATATCATTAGTATACTTTGCTCAAAAATCAATAGTACTCCTGTACACAAATAACTCACTAAGAGAGAAATTAGAGCAACTACACCTTTCACATTAGCATCCAAAAAAATGAAATACCTAGGAATAAATCTAAGGAAGTAAAAAAACTTTTACAATGAAAACTGCAGTACTCTGAAAAAGGAGATTGAAAAGGCTATCAGAAAATGGAACGATATCCCTTATTCTTGGGTAGGAAGAACCAATATAGTGAAAATGACCATACTTCCAAAATTACTATACAGATTTAATGCAATCCCAATCAAAATACCAATAGTGTAATCTCACATAATTAAAGAAAAAAACCAGAAGAGACCTAAAATAGCAAAATCAATCCTAGGCAACAAAGGCAAGGCAGGGGGTATCACAATCCCTGACTTGAAAGTATTTTACAAAGCTACTGTGATTTAAAAAAGAAAAAAACAACAGCATGGTGCTAGCAAAAACAGACCTGAGGATCATGGGAACATATTAGAAGATCAAGAAACAACTATAAACACACTCAACTACTGTGGTGGATTGACAACTGGTGGTCAACTTATAACCCCTTCCAGCTGAACTGAGTAAGTGTGCTGGTGCTGGGTGTAGGAGGTCCACCTGAAGATTGTGTCCAGCAGCCTAGGACACAGAACTGGAGAAGAAGTTAGGCTGTTGGGAGCTGGTAGGAGCTGTAGGGAGGGAGCTGTTGGTTCCTCTGGAGGAGCTTGTCATGCTGGCTCTCCTGATGAGCTTGGCTGTTTTCATCCTCCAAGGAGCTTGGGACCTTGCTGGCACTAAGAATAGCTTCGGTTCACCTTGGGGAAGCTCTAGTCCTTACTTTGAGCATCACTTCCTGTCTCCAGAGGGGAAGATGGAGAAGCCTGCTGCACTGGCTTTCTTGCTTTCCTAACAGGAACTCAGCTGTGTTCGCCACTGGAGGAGCTCAGGCCCTCACTGTTGCTGAAGACGGTTGTGGTACTTTTCAGAGGAGCTCTAATTCTTTCTTTGCATGTCACTTCCTGCTCCACTGTAGATCCATCAGCCTGCTAGCACAGATCCTTCATCCAGCTGGCACAGACTTCCTAGATTCTACCACTGACCTTTGGGCCTTCCCAGTGCAGATCCATAAAATGGGCCTGCATGAGATATTGTTACGGGCTCCAGACCTCCAGTTGTACTTGTGCAAGGCACTGTTATAAGGTCTAGGTCTTCAGCTGGACTTATGTACGACATTTCCGTGGGATCCAGGCCCTCGGCTACTTTCCTTGGTCTTAGTGTATGGACAGATTTCCTGCACTCTTTTGTATATCATTCTTTGGGCGACTATTATAAATAATCTTATAAAATATGTGTCCTGTATTATACTGTTCCCCTTGCAAAATATCCCCCAAACCAACACAATTACCTTACCTTTCACAAAGGAACCAAACACCTTCACTGAAAGAAAAATAGCCTCTTTAATAAATGGTGCAGGAAAAACTGGCCAAAGAGTACACTAGAGCCATATCTCTCACTATGCACTAAACTAAACTTGAAATAGACAGACGATCTAAATTATTAAAACACAGCCAGGGATGTAGCTCAGCGGCACAAGTGCCTGGCTGGCAAGCACAAGGTCCTGAGTTTGATTTCCGGTACCAAAAAAACACAACAAAACTAAATTAGTAAAACAGAAGTCCTAAATCTGCTGTAAGATACAGTAAGTAGAACTCTTGAAGACATTGGCATAGGCAAAAACTTTATGTATGAACAAAACCCAAGTTGCACAGCAAATATCACAAAGAATCAACAACTGGGACCTTGTATTTTTAAAAAAACTATCTATAGAGTAGAGACAACCCCAGTGTGGGAAAATTTTTTGCCAGCAATTCTTCAAAGGACTACTATCTAGAATATATAAAGAACTTAAAAAAAAAAATCAGACCCTTCAAATTTAAAGACCCAAACCATAAATGGGTATCTGAAATGAACAGACATTTCTCAGATGAAGAAGTAAAAATGGAGCTGGGCATGCTGGTACATGCCTGTAATTCCAGCACTCAGGAGGCTGAGGCAGGAGGATCGTTGCAAGTTCGAGACCAGCCTGGGCTACAAAGTGAGCTCAAGACCAGTTTGAACTGCATAGTGAGACCCTGTCTCAAAAAAAAAGAAACAAAAAAAGAAATAAAAACGGCAAGGAAACATACGAAAAAATGTTCAACAGCACTGGTCATTCAAGAAATGCAAATCATAACAATGCTTAGATCCTACCTCATTCCAGAAAGGATGGCTGTTACCAAGAAATCAACCAATAACAAATGTGGGTGGGGCTGTGGAGAAACAAGATCTCTTCTGCACTGTTAGTGGGAGGGTAGACTGGAGCAACCACTGTGCAAATCATCAAAAATCTAAAACCCTAAAACTATAGGTTAAAAAAATCTAAAACTAGAGGTTCCATTTCACTCAGCTATTCCCTTTTTGATATCTTCCCAAAAGCATTAAAAAAAAAAATCACACCGCAGTCATATATGCATACCCACGTTTATAGCAGTCCAGTTTGTACATAGCTAAATCTTGGAAACATTCTCAAATGTCCATCAACTAATGAATGAAGACATGGGTTTTTTTAAAATGCAATGGAGCACTACTCTGCCACCAAGAAGGATAAGCTTGAGATATATGTAGCTAAATGGATAAACTGGACGTGCATGTTTAAATATCACATCGTTTCTCTGGTGTGAGAAAATGAAAGTGTAAATATGAACCAAAACGTATAGTAATAGATATGGGGAAATGGGAAGAAAATGTTCAAATAAGAATGGGAACACAGGAAGGGGCAGGGGGAAAGGAAGAAAGAAGAAGAAAAAAGAATAAAAAGAAAAAAATGGAAACAAAGCTTTTGTAAATAAGGAGGCGAAGAGTGGTTGAAAGGGAAAGGAATAGGGAAAAAAACAGCAGCATGATATATCATATACAGGTTGAAATTTCCTATGATGAATGTTACCATTAGGTATATCTAGAATGTACCCCCCAAGCCTGTAATCCCAGCACTTGGGAGGCTGAGACAGGAGGATCTCTGCGAGTCTGAGGCCAGCATGGGTTACAAAGTGAGTTCAAGGCCAGCCTGAACTGCACAGTGAGATCCTGTCTCAAAATGACAAAAATAAATAAAAAGTACCCCCCAAAAAAGTACTAAAAAAAAAAAAAGAAAAAAAAAAAGGAGTCTTTGCTTGTCACTTGCTGCCTTCTGCCTTCCCTAATTGGCCGTGGATCGTTACTCCTTTGCTATGCCCTTCACCCATGCCACTGTGCCTTGGAGCCAGCCAACTATGAAGTGAAACTTCTACAACCTATGAGCTATTAAACCTTCCCTGCTTAAAACAAAACAATTTTACATAGTTTCACTTATCCAGTATCACACAGCATGACTTTCAGAGTACACCAATTTATCAAAGCAAGACCTTCACCAGCTGAAATAATTCTTTTACTAATAATCATACACCATGTAATTTGAATTAATTACTGCTTTATTTACTTATTAAATCTTCAGGGGAATGTGAGCATCTTAATGGTGGCTTTACAACTTGAGAACATTAAATACAACTTTTTTGTTGTTCCTTCAGCAAGAGATGGTAACAGTTAAAACAAGATTATAAACTAATAGCACTTCTAGGTGGATACACTAGGTTTAGTAAAGTGATTTTAGTGAATAATCTTTGAGGTCCTACGTAGAATATGTGAAACTCTAGTTTCACAACCCAGAAGTGCTCAGGTGATAGTGACTCCCCTGTCGTAAGTGAACAAAGTGGCTGTGATGAAAATATCCCAGAGAAGGTGACACTGATAAAAAAAATCTCAAATCAAAGGAAATCTCAGATACTTCCCAGCACTGGAAAATGTGAAGGATTAAAATGTGGAAAGCTGATCCCAATTCAGAATGGATTATGACAATTCAGCAAGGTGTATGAAAACGACCTGCTCCTTATACTAAGTTATATGGAGAAAGCAGTTAAACACTGTTCAAACTACTCTTGGTAAGTTTTTTTTGCAAAGAAGTAAAACACTTTAATTCTCAGTTATTACTGATGTTTTAAATTAGCATAATAAGCAATCTCATTTTAATATTTGGTATCATTTCTCTAAATACTTGTAACTAACAATAAAAAGTCCTAATGTTCTAAAAAGAAAAACCAGAAAAATCACAAAATAATTATTTTTTTCTACTGATTTCTAAAATTTCTTTGCACAGTGCCAGCTTGTTTACTAACTGCTATAATCCTGTATTAGCATGCAACCATAGGATTTCCTGTACTGATAATCATTAGTTGGAACAGTATCAGTGACTTGTCTCTAATTTGCCAACAGAAGAGACTACAGATGAATTTAAGCATTTCATTAACATGAAGTGGTAAAAATTATTTAACACCTGAACACAAAAGAAAAATATAACAGATAAACTCAAAGCCAGAAAATAGTTACCAACTTGCAGTAAACTGTAATCAAATAGTTAAAGGCAAGAGAGAATAGGTCATGGCAAACAATTCAAAATAAAATCCAAACAAGTTTTGTTTCCTAAATATAAAACCTGACATCCAAAGCCTTTTGATTTCAGACTTGGCAGGTAAGAAAAAAGGATCTCGCCACATATTCTACTGTATGACCTCAAAGATTATTCACTTTATTCTAGAATGTGATAATGAATGGCTCCAGTCATATTCCTCTCTCATTCCCTAAACTCTCATGAATTCTGGTATAATTGTGAGTGTAGAAGAAGGCACTTGTTGAAGACCTCATTTTACATGAAATTAAATGCAAGTTTTATAATCTAAATATCTAAAAGGAAGTTTGTTAACCTTAATACAAGGGCTTAAGTTACATATAATGCTATACCGAATGGACAATGCATAGGCAAAAAGCCTTATGACTTTTCATGTATGAACTACTGTCTGAGCCTCTTGGGTTATGTAGACTGAGCAATTTGGTTTTAATAACAAAATAAAAGTAAAGCCAAGTTCTTAGGATTTTTCCCCTTAAAGTGACTATAAAAATTTCCAAGTATAATCCACCCAACTGGTATGACAGTTTATTTAATAGAACTCAAAAGTGGCAAGAAATCTGAGCTCTGGCCCCCAACACCTACTAAAAGTTAGTCACAGACTTGTTCAGGACTCAGGTCATCATCTGCAAACTCAAAGGACATCGCTAGTCATGATGAGGATTATGCTAACTACTTAAAGTGATAACAAACTGGCGTAATATTAGTCTAAAAAAAGGGGGAAGCAAAACATATCATAAAATTAACATGGCATGCAGAATTTATTCCACAGCATTAAATTTTACCTTGGTAACTTCTTATATAGGAACCGCTTTAAGTCCTGAAAAAGAACATTACAAAATAATATGCCTTGCACTGCTTTTGCAGACCTGTCCTTCCCACCTTTCAGGGACCTCAAGTCCTCACGCTGAACTTCTCTTGCTGGTGTCTTACCGCTGCATTTCTGATTTTGATGCCAGTCCTACAGCTGGAGCAAGGAAACCTCTCAGCTTCCACTTCACTGTCTACTGAGTAGGAATAGTCAGAGAGCTACCTGGTTCATTACTGTGCTTGGAAACGGGACACAGAAACACGTCTGTCCTCATATCCGACCTTCCGGGTCCTACTGCCGGAGGCGCGGTGCGCGCCGGGGAGGGTGCAGACCGCTCAGACCCACGGCCTCCCGCCTCGTCCCCGATCCTCTGCAAGCTCACTTCCCTAAGTCCCAGGCCCTCCGTAAGGATGAGGGTGCCGGGTCAGGCTTCACCTGGGGATGTCGCAGGTGGCACAGTGGCCAAGTACGCTCTCTCTACCCGGCGGGACCTAACGCCTGACATCCCGCACCTCCCGGTCCCGCCGCTCAAGCCCGCCGACCGTTCGCTCCCCGCCACCAGTCGAAGCCGTCTGCGGGAGCCCTCAGTTCGCCGCAATGACCCGGTGCCCTCGGCTTCTGTAGGGACCTGGACTCCACCCCGACGGCCCCCTGACGACCCCGCCGGGAACCCCTCCGCCGACAGCCCGTCCCCGGGGCTAGGGCAACTCACGTCCGCCATGGCGCGCAGCTCGGGCCTCGGCGCCTGCAACACAAAGCCGCCATGAGTGCGGGCCGGCCGCGCCCCGCCCAGCCACTATAGGTCGTGACCCGCCTGGAACACACAACCTCTCCCTCAGACTCACCACCCCATCGCCCGCGCCCGGACACCAGGAGAGGAGGCTCCTACTACCTGCCCTTCTCCGTTGTCCGACTGTCTCCCACGGCCCTCCAGCAACAGCTTCAAACACAGTTTACTCGGCCAGCGCCGTCACCTAACCAGCGACCGGATCTGCGCTTCCGGAAGCTCTTGCTAAACCCATGACAGGGAGTGAGAGGGACTTCCGGGGGACCGGGCGGAAAGAGCGAGCGCAGCTACCTGCTGCGCCTGCGCGTCCTGCCTCACGTTGCCCCGTCGTGACTGCCTCCTTCCAGTGCTTACTAGGCTCCGAGCCTCCTGCGCCTGCGTACCGCTCCTCCTACGCCTGCGCGCCGTTCCTTGTCGTGCCTGAGTGTCACCGGCGCAGTTTGCGTTGAGGGGGGATGTTTACTTCACTCTTTTCTTGCTAATGAAGATATTTGAGGCGGTTGTGTTTGATGGAACAGCACAAATCGGACTATCTGTAATCCGAACCCCCAGCCTAGAGTTTCCAACCTTTTCTGGTCTACGGATGTAGCTGCATAGGCGCAGGAGCTGCGTACACTGCCAGCCGCTGCTCAGCAAGTGCGGGCGTCAGCGCCTTTCTTCGCTAGGCCAGATGCGCACCTTGCGGTGTGAGGATTTCCAGTGCCGGTTTTGGTTGGTGCCTTGTTTGCGCATTCGAGGAGTGCCTACTGCTGGAGGGAGCAGGAGGACAACAGGGTTTGGCTTCTGGGAGTCCTCACCTTCACCGGGCCATTTTTGTTTGTCATGGAGCTTCTCTATGCATCCATCCTAGGATGTCCTGCAGTGTTGAGCCTTTAGGCTCTAGAGTCCAGGAGCAGTCGAAAATCCTTAGGGGGATGGATGGACTCACCTGAAGTTCATGGCTTTTGTTGCAGATTTCTTAAGAATCTTTGTTTGAACCAGTAAAATCTCTTGAAAGATGAGATCTGTGGAATCTTTACTCTGATCTTAGTTTCCAATCCCTAAAGAGTGCAAAAGGAACTAATTCTAATCCAAAACACTGAAGAATTATTTTCCTATGGCTATCTTTTGATAGGATGAAAATGTAAATTACAGCTTACTGCTTTTTTAGCATGTTCACGATGGGGGTCTAATTTATGTCTCGCTGCTGTGCAGCTTGAACCACCAGTGGTACATACATGACTGTCCCAGACATTACCACTCTACCAACAGTGATACAAGCCGTGAGGATGGGACAGTCATGCATGTACCACTGGTGGTACCAAGGCGGCAGGCAGAGCCCTGTAGTCCCTTATGTTTGTTACCTCTAGGACTATACATTACTTGTCACAGGTCCCCATTCACTACCCTGTCCTCTTAAAATGATGGCATTTCTTGCCTGTTTTCACTGTTTTTCCAAGATGCCGTGAGAATGTGTAAGCATGTACTTTTCTGGGTGTTCTGTTTATCATTTTCGAATCATTGGAGGTTGGATATCTTCATATATTTCTTCCTGTTAGCTCTAATTAAAAAGCTATAAAGACATGCATTAAATCTTAACCAAACCACTCCCCTAATGTCCCTATTCACGCCATGGTTCTAACCTTCATGAATCATATTTGCTATTTTTCCTTCCATGCGTCACCCTAACAATGATTTTTGCGTTTATATTTTTTTACTTCCTGATTGAACGATTGTTTCTGTACAGCAAGACCAATCAGCAGCCCCTGTAACTTTCCATCAGTTGAACAAATATGAAAGTCAACTTATAAAGGAAAAAGGTTTATTTTGGCTCAGTTTTATAAGTTTCATTCCATGATGAATTGTTCCCATTACTTTGGGCATGTGTAAAGCAAAACTAGGGGCCTTATGAACAGGAAGCAAAAAGAGAAAGTAAGAGACCGGGGTCCATCAATCCCCTTTAAATGATATCTGGTGACATGATGATATCCCATTGTACCCACCTACCAAAAGGACTGTGGCGAGGACCATACCTTTATGACACAGACCTTTGGGCAGACTACAGCACAAATGAATAACAGCATACAGTACTTGCTAAAACAATGCGTATTACTACTTGCTCACAAACCTTTTGTACAATACCAATAGTCAATGATAAAGCTGACAGTTTATAATGTGAGCCCAATATATCATTGTTTTGCTTGTGAACGCATTCTAATCAGGATTCTCTATCATAACCCAATTGATGACTTCACCAACATGACTTTTAACTTCCCCTGTGCTCAGGCCCAGCTGCTGGGTATGCAGAAAATTCACATAACTAAACACTGTAAATCTGTCACCAACTAGAGAACCATAAAAATCCTTTTTTTGTTAGCTGTGAAAATGATTCCTTCAAATTACCTTCATTCTAAGCTTTTGTTCTTTATTCTTTCCCTGTTCCCTCACTTATATAAACTGCAGAGGTCAATAACTGGAGACCAGAAAATTGCACCTCACTAAAGACAAATCTGCCTGTACTTAAATCAATCCTCTGTCCATTCCTTTTTCAAAGAATGCTGTTAGTGTCTCTTGGTCAAAGTAATTTTTACATATCTGCGAAGGGATCTATATGTCCTTTGGATACATCAGGGGTTCAATGCTGTCATCTCTGTTTTTACCATCTTTCATTGTTGCTTCTTTCCATCTATATAAAAAAATTAGTAAGGGCTCTCATGTAATAAACAATAACTGAAAAAAAGCCTTCTGTAGAAATCATATTCTCTTTCAGCTACTAACCTTTTTTCCTTTTCATAACCAAATTTTTGGAAATCTTTAGCCTGGTTTTTAATTGCTGCTACCACATACCAAAATCCAATCCAAAGAGATCGTGAGTCTACGTTCTGAATGTCTCTGAAGATCATTCACTATATCTTTCACTATAGCCCTGACCTGGTCCATGCCATGATCATCTCTCCTTTGACAATAACTTATCTTTCTAAACTTTCACTTCTGCCCTCTATTCTTCAAACAGCAACTTAAATGGTATTTTAAAAACCTAAATTTCATCATGTAACTCTTCCCTTAAAAATCTTAAATATTTTTACTTTGAGAGGGGGTCTTTATGTTACATAATCCAGGCACACCTTGAATTCAATATGTAACCCAGGCTGGCCTTGAACTCGATTGTCCTGCCTCAGTGTCCCCAAAACTGAGATCACCAGTATGCACCACCACACCCAGTTGGGTTCTGACCACTGACAGGATAACATACAGTGTTATCACTGTGGGTACATATGATCTTATGAGGACCTGGCTCCTAGTTTTGTTCTCTTACCCACCTTGGGATCCTTACGCTAGGATTATGTGTTTTCACTTCCATAGTTTTTACAACGACCAGTTTGGCCACTCTGTCTGAAATATTTCCCTAGGGTTCACCTTACTCCTGCTAATCTTTTGGGTTTCAGCTTAAGCTCAGTTTCTCAGGGAAACCTTTCCCAACCCTTCCAGAATAGCGTAGGTCTCCTAGATCTATACTCTCAATGCACCTTGTAATTTTGTCTCAGTTGTCAAAATTGTAACTAGTTATTTACTTGACATTTACTTTGTTTGCTAGATGTAAACTTCCTAAGAGTTTTTGTCTTGTTCAGTGATTCATTCCCAGTACAAGCGCATTGCATTACTTGGAATATGGCAGGCACTTACACATTTGTTGAATGGCTGAATAAAAGAAAGAATAAAAATATCATGAATATACAATACAATAAAACTTTTACAGTGAGAACAAACCTTTTTATTAATATATTAAGATAAAGTACAGAGACTGAAAGACAAAAATTCATCATAAATCATTCAGAACATTCATTAAAAATCAAATGCATTTTCTTTAAGAGTTCTCACACAGGAAATTTTATTTTATATAACTCTGATATAACGTTAGTTTACAAATCAGACATTTCATTTTTAAACCTAATTATATAATCTTGAATGCACTATAGACAAAGTAAGATCTCCTTTATGTTTCACTTCATTTAGCTTATACAAGGCTTCCATTAAAATTCCATCACGCCTTGAAAATTTCCTGTAGCTTTTTAAAACATGTAAACTAAAACTAAACTTTAAATGGACAGAGTCTTACAATGCAATTTAAAAACCAAAAAGAAAAAGGTAAGAAGCATTTCTTAATGCAAATGAATTATACAATATCAACTTTTTTCTTCTAATCATTATAGTCATCTAACTCAAAAACAATCCTCTCAAAAGTAATGGCTGGAACACCCCAGTGCCACTGTTCGCACAGTGCTTGTGAGTGGGAGGCTGAACTCCAGTGGACATGGACAACACTCATCCACTGCCTGCCTGCCAGGTGGCATCTGCTCCACAGCTCACTATCTGCACAGCCAGTCATCAAATTCTTAGTCATTTATGAACTAAGACACTCCCAGAAACACTTCTTACCCTTATGTAGTTCCAGATTGCCAGACTTAGAAAGACACAGTTACTTTTGAAGTGTGGGCCTTAAATAGGAATGTATATTAAAACAAAGATCAACAGAAAGAATTCACACCAATGAAATTCTGTGGACTGATTTTCAAATTTGGAAATAAAAATATCCATTGCTAATGGAAGCCCTGCTCTGTGCAAACATAGTGTGGTACATATTAAATAATCACACATCTGAGGTATTAGCTGGAAAAAATGCATATGTATACTTACACTTGTACACATCCACAGAATATTCACAGATCTATTGGCCCCAACACCAGCAAATAATCAAATCAAATGAAAAGGATCACATACCAACAGGAAAACGTTACACACAGGGAATTTACAAAAATTTCATTACATAATCCTTAATATAAGGAATATGTTTTGAGGAAAAATTTTACCATTTATATGAAAGTAGTTTTTAATAGCAATGAAACCAAAATGAAGCCTGAATTCTAGGACTGTGTTGCCTGCCAGATTGGTGCAAGAATTCTTTGAACAGCGACATTCTATCCACTTGTTTGTAAATGAAAATCAGAACTTAGCAAAATTTTGAAATTACTGCCTGAGTATTTTTCTTTCTTTCTTTTTTTTTTGGTACTGGGAACTGAACTCAGGACCTTGCATTTGACAGGCAGGCTCTGTGCCACTGAGCTATATCCCTCGTCCCTACTTTTTTCTTCTTCATTGGTTTTTGCAGAATGTTAGGCATTTTAACTAGGCAGTAGTCTAACATGTCCAATAGACAAGATTTCTCAGCTACTTAGTGAAGATTAAAATTCAAATTGATTGTTCATTTTTATTATTTTTTCTATTCAGATAAGGGAAAAAAGTGATTTATTAAATTCCCTTCTAGGTTGCTTCACTCAGTGTGAAGATCAATGGTAATACAGGTGGTACTGAACCCACCAAGTCCACACTTCACAACGAGGCAAATCTATGCACTCTTAAATCATTTGGTCCTTTGCCATAATACTTGCTTAACTAGAAAAGTGGCTCCTTTGGTCCTTACATCCATCCAGAAATATTCCACTGTCTAAACAAGGCAGAAGATATTTTTAAATGAAATATGTAGAAATACATTAACTAACATTAGCATGTCATAGGTGTTAAATAACTGCATTTGAAAATATCACAGATCCAACAGAAGGGAAATCAAATGATAATTTCATTCTATATCTACTGCAAAAGAAGATTTATCAGAAAGCAAAATGAAGCATAAAAGTGCAATTAAACTTAAGGGCCAGTACTCCACATTCCTGTTCCTGCTGACACCTGAACTGATACACAGCAGAGTACTGCAAAGCATGGAGATGCTTCTAGGACTTGACCTTTCTCCACCAAGTCTTTGTAAACAGTGAATATGCATGTAATGATTATGAAACAAGCAGCCAAAGACAATCTGTTCCCAAAATATGTTATTTTCACTTAATTACTTATGGGATGGATAGCTTAAAATTTCTCATTGTCAAGAATTCAATTTATTTGATCAAAGTAAGTTCCAAGGCTTACAGATGACTAAATGACTAGCACCAGTCATTAAGAAACTAAGAAACTTTCAAAAAAGGAAAAAGGTACTATTTCCATTCCCCCAAACCTTCACTAGAACAACGGTGTCTGTGTGTGAACATAAAAAGGGATAAAACATACAAAGCTTGAATAAATATGACTGCTGTCAAATTTCCAAAATACCAGTTAAGAGAAGCTAGTTGAAGCCAAAGCCCTTTAGGTAGGAAATAAAATCATCAGGTGAGGTTGAAAGCTCATGTAGCTAAAAAAGAAAACGGCAAAATCTTGGGATTTTTAATCATGAAAGGGTAATAAATATGAAAATCTTACACCTAAGATAGTTGAAGTCTTATCACTGTGTACAACTGACCTAAAGTACAAGACGGTCCCTACCTTTGCACCACGTTATAGGGGACATGAAGAACTCAATCTTTACTTGCATACTGTCTACATGCCTCAAATTGTCAGTCACTCAAATCAATCCTTTCTCACAGGTGTTTGAAAATTTTATTTTATCAAACATATTTTCCTAACAAATTATGAAATGTAATGGAATGCAGGAATAAACCTGAAATATAACACTGTCCAAAAGCCACGTCTGGCTTTATAACATGTAACTTCACTTTTTTTTTGTCTTTTTGAGATAGGGTCTCACCATGTAGTTCAGGCTGGTCTTGAACTCACTTTGTAGCCCAGGCTGTCCTGGAACTCACAATGATCCTCCTGCCTCAGCCTCCCAAGTGCTGGGATTACAGGCGTGGGCCACCATGCCTGGCATAACTTCACTTAATTTGATAATTTCACCTATCCTTTTAAAGCAGGGATTTAAGGGAAAAAAGAATCAGTGAACAGAAAGGTTTAGTTCACGTAAGAATTAACCATAATAGTGAAAATTTCCTACTAAAATTGGAAAAATAAACAGATGAATTTTTCAAGTTTTTATAAATCTTTTGATATATATGAACTTTCATAATTAATTAGAATGCTATGACATTTTAAAAAAACCTTTTCTACAGGCTCAAAAAAATATTTAAAGCTTATTTGAAGCATTACTTTTCTTGTAAAGGTCACATTTCCAAAAGAAATTGGTTAAGCTTTCAGGATTCCTATGACAATATGTTTATTTTAACCTTGAATTCAATTAGGTGTTTTTACATATTTATTTAGGAAGAGGATACAAGAGAACATTGTCAGCAATTTTATTTGACAGGTGTTATAAATCAACCACACCCCCCATCCTTAAACAAAAGTAACAAAACCACTCTACCCTGCTCACAGAAGAACTGCCAAAATTATGTTCATGTTCCACTGGGTTGAAGCAAAATCATTAAAATATTACTAGCACAGAAGACTAGAAATCAAATAATTCCATACTCATAGGCACCAAAAACTTCAATTTCCAGCTGCTGTTTTTCTAATTTATATTAAGGATTTAATTATAAGGAGCTTATTCCTACAGGATTAATTGAGTTACTCAAAGGTGAAGAGATTGTGTCTTAGGATTTTTATCGCATGACTTGCTATATCATTCACTATTCTACCTGCTGCTCTATTTCTGCTCACTGTTGCATGTGGCCAAACAGATCCTGATCAATAAATGAACGGGAACCTATGTATACATTTAGGAGTTGGCAGTAGGGTTAAAAGGCACAAAGCTGTACTTAATAATTTTTCTTATTGTTTGTAGAAGAATCTATCTACCTTTGGATCCTGTTTAAATGATCACTAAGAAAATGCAAATTTCTATGGGTAGACAATTAGGTGTCTTCTTCATAAATACTAGCAGCCTTCCAAGACATATAAATGAACACTTCGGTTCTTTTAATTATTAGGATTGCAAATGCATAACTATAATTTACTACTGAAGACCCTCTTAATTTAATATTTATAGCCATTTCCTCATATTTTCTTTTTTATCAGTATAGCATTTCATTTCTACATATGGCTTAGCAATGCAATAAACTAAATAGCAAACTGATATTCTACACCAGTTCATTTATCTCAGTACATATTTTGGAATATAATAGCAAATATTAAAAATATTAATTCCTTCTAAGTTGATAAGTCTATAAGAGTTTACAGAAACTTAAATAGTTTTTGGTTTTTGTTTTCTTTTTCCATTTGAAAAAGTTTCATTGTTTAAACTCTACATACTTGACCTGATAGGGAAAACATAATTGTGTCACACAACCTTTATTCCATCACCTTAAAAGAAGTGTGTCATTGAGCTAAACACTAAAATAACTTAAATAAAAAGGCAATAACCTGTATGTACACAAAATGTTCATTCCATAAATATTTACATGACAAGGGACAAATGGAGAATTACTAAAAGTAGAAATCGCTACAGGTGTGATAATCCCTTCTCAAGACATTTTTAGTTAGGAATCATATAAGCTTTTAAAATGAAAGTAACTGTAGAAGCACAACTAAAATATTAAGTTTAGTTTTCAGTTCTTACTGTTTAAAGGAACCAGGAGGTCAGAAACAGCCCAAGATTTCAGAAACCAACTATTCAGTTCAGTTTCTCATATCAAATCTTTTCTTCAGCTCTTGTGATGAAACTAAATTTACAGAAGAGATCAGGAGTGTGCTAACAGGCACAGACGCAAGCCGCTCAGCCTCCTTTGTACAGACTGGTCAGCCGCTCCAGTTCCTTACAGTTGTCCATGCTCAGGGCATCCGCCTTCCTCCGGAGGCGATCGTCTCGGTATACCTTTGCGGCATACTGCATATCTGTTTCTGTTAACGAAAATATTTTGCTACATAAATAATCTTTTATATCACCTAGCTGTTTAAATTCAAATGATGCTTCATAGAAGATCTTCAGTGTATTTCTGTTAAGTGACTTTTAAAAAAGAAAAGAAACCCAAGTCCTACGTCTAAAAGACTCTTGGGTAACTCGGGGCTTTGTAAACACTGAACAAGCAAGCGCTCACCACTGAGCAGCATCCCAACCCTTTCTTGAGACAGGATCTCATTCAGCTGCCCAGGCCAGCCTAAATTTCCTGCCCTCCTGCCTCAGCCTCTCAAGTAGCTAAGATTAAAGGCCTGTACCACCACTCCTAGCTAGAAAACCTTCTCTTTACGTGAAAATGTTACTTGAAGCAGCACATATAAAACAAACACAGAGAAGAAGCCAGGGTAGAATCTGTCAACTCACACTAGAACCCTTCTCCTTAGCTCCTGAGCCAGTGGTTTAAAAGTCAGTGCTCTGAAGCATCACCTCAGCCTTCTACCCTACAGTACCATATGCTAGTCATGCTACCAGGGATGAGCCTGCTGCAATTTTTTGTTAAGGTTTCAGAAAATCCCCAACTTAAATATAAAAATTTAAAATATTGGTCTGAGTTTATCTGAACTTTGAAAAATGACATTACTCTATATCTGTCTATCTATAGTTTCTGAAGGAACACAGGAAAATACTTGCTATGCAATCATAACAGTGTTATTCTGCAAAGAAGCACCTTTCAGGCTTCCTTTAGTTACTAAAAGAAATACATGGAGTATAAATCAAAACTCTTAGCAGTATAGTGGTGCATGCCTGTAATCGCAGCACTTGGGAGGCTGAGGCAGGAAGATCTTTGCAAGTTCAAAACCAGCCTAGGCTACAAAGTGAGCTCAAGGCCAGCCTGAACTGCATAGTGAAACCTGTCTCAAAAAGACACACACACACAAAAACCTCCAAAAAAACAAAAAACAACTCTTAGGTGGGTGTGACGGTGCATATTTACCTGTAAACCCAGCACTTGGGAGGCTGAAGCACGAGGACCACTGTGAGTTCAAGCTGGCCTGGGCTACACAGTGAGTTCAAGGCCAGCCTGAACTGCATAGGGAGATGCTGTCTCAAAAGAAGAAAAATCAAACGAACAACCCCAACTCTTTAGGGAAGTTTAGAAGGCCTTCTACTGTTTACTAACACTTCTAAAGGGTGGGGGTACTTAGAGAAGAAAATGAAAAAAGGAAAGAATAAGTTACTTTCTAGAAAACAATGGCCAAAGGAGAAGCCATCTGGTTTATATGTGTCAGTCAGGACCACGTTTAAAATTTACTCACAGGTAAAAGTGTAGTATTCCATCTCCAGAAACCATCTTTATTCAATCTTTTGGGCTAGGATTAACAATTTAATCAATATTACTCTACACTTTTACTTACAAATAATGCACTTGTAAAAATACATTTGCCAGTGACTCCAAAATCTTAGTGTTAATAAACCAAGGTTCACACTGCTAATAAATCAGAGTCTAGGTCCAAATCCTATTGTGCAATTCTTACCCTGACTTTCCATTCATGTATTTCAAATTACTGCTTGTAACTTTATAAACCACTGATTTTCTAGTCTATACATTAGGGAATGTTAGAAGTAACTCCAAAACAGAAAAACCCTGGCAAAAGAATATGCATTGATCAACTATCATTTTATAACTTTAATTTATGAAACAAGATAATTTCAGGGCTAGGAGGTGTAGCTCAGTGATTTAGAACTTCCCTAGCGGTGCAATGCCCTTGGTTCAATCTCCAGCACAACAAAGAAGATAAAAGGGGAAAATCACACCCTAACCCACAGAGAAAATATCCAGTCAATGCACTGACACATGAAGTGACCCTTCATGACCCTATCCCAGAGAAGTACTGAATTTGTTGAACTTTATTTTGAAAAATTTCAAAACTACACAAAAATTAAGAATAACACAATGAACACCCTAAAATTCTTTACCATGTTTGACTGTTCTCCACATTTTTTACCAATTGTTCTAGCTCTCTATCCCTAAGCAAGACTGTTACTATTGTTATGTTTGCAGAGTTGAGGATGAGGTGCAGATATTGACTTTACATTCCTAATATATAGTCATGTTTCCCTCAAATATGCACAGTCTTTTAGAGAACTGTCAGGTAGAGGTCTGCCTAGTGGGCTCACTGCTCATGTCACTCACCGCCTGGGTCTGGGTGAGGCTGTGACGGGCTCCCCGCCCCGCTCCCTGTAAGGAGCCAATGAGGGATGACGCTCTGCTCTCCGCTCTTTCCTCTCCTTTAGTCTCAAAGAACTGTGTCTTTGGTTTCACTGATATTTTGTAATGTAAGCAAGCTATTTTGTACATGAATGATTAAAAACAATGAAAATTTGTGGTAGAAACTTTAAAAGACACATACACGTGTACAATTTAATTGTGGATAACCTGCTGTATGAACAGAGCAGGTTCAAAGGGTCCATGAAATCTATTAATACTGACCTTGCCAGATAGCTGAAGTATTAAACTAGATCATCCCAAACAAAAACACTTGCCCAGACTGCAATTAAAAATCATAATTATAATAAATACTAATATTGAATACTTCTAGCATAAGACATCTAAGTGCTTAGTATCTGGGTTTGGTTTGGTTTTTCCTGAGGCAGGATCTGGCTATGTAGTCCAGGCTGGCCTTGAACTCCCTTTGTAGCCCAAGGCTGGCCCTGAGCTTCTGGCGATCCTCCTGCCTCAGCCTTCCAAATGCTAGGATTACAGGCATGTGCCACCACATCCAGTTTCCACATATTCTCTGTCATGATCTACGTTTTAGTGACAAGGGAACTGAAATTTAGGCAATGTATCCTTAGAGTCAGGACCTTGTGTGGCAATTCTAGAGCTTGCACTTTAACCATGATATTCACTTATCAACCAAATACATGCTAATGCCAGCAGTGACACAGGAGTCATTAAGTCCTTACTATGATAGCTGTAGAACTACCTGATAGTTCTCTAAGTCCTTACTATGTGCCATCTGCTGTGAGACCACATGCACATAAAATCTATTACAGATATCCCTCAGGAGCCACAAGACATTGGCCCGAGGGCCTCCTAGGATTAAAAAGAAATCCCATGATGTTTAAATACCTTACATAAAAAGGCATAGTGTTTGGTATATTCTAGCTATGTATTAGTTATACTAATATTACATATGCTGTTAGTTGTTTTACTGCACTGTTTGGAGAACCCTGACAAGAAAAAGAGAAAAAAAGTCTGTACATTTTCAGGACAAACACTATTTCCCTCTAAATATTTCCTGTCGGTGACTGGCTAAATCCATGCGGGAGGGAGGAAGCCTCAGAAAGAGGCTGGCTGTAAGAAGGCCTGAGCTTTGATTGCATCCCACATAATTCCAGAACATCCGCTGAGGAGAGAAGTCTACAGTAATCAATGCCAAAGACTACGAATAAGCTTAACATTTGACCAACTTACTTTGTTGTCTTTCTTTCCAGCAATTATTTCGAATATTAGTCACATAATCTTCTTCCACACTCTTTTCTACCTTTTGTAGTAACATTCCTTTGTATTCATTTTTAAAGTCCTTGTTGACATAATAAACCACTCCCAAGTTTTCTGTCTGCATTTTAATAGTTTGCCCTGATCCACTGTGAAAAAGATGCATGATTATTTTTAGTTAAAGTTAGACTTTTTAATATTCTACCACAAACTAAGGTACAAGATAAAAATAATTAAAAAGTTAGTAATATTTACATTGTCTCAAATTGCTTAAAACCAGAATTTCAGGTCATTAAAAAACATACTTTTAATATAAGTATGTTCAAAAGTTCTCTCAATTTTTAGCTAATAAAAATTTTATTTGGAAAAAATAAAAATTTATGCTAACTTTAGGGAATGCTGTTTTTAATACTGTAAAATCATTGCCAATATGATTTTACAGTTTCCTTCATGTGCACTGTCTTAAAGTTGTTGCATTAAATTTCCTTTATGTCCTGACCTCTCAGTGAAGTCATTTCCCACTTAATGACACAAAGCTGTGTAAGATCAATTATTATCCTTTTAGTCATTAAAGTACTTTTGTCTTTTAAAGTAGTTTTTGTCTTTAATGTCAATACAATACCTACCACATTAAATTCAAGTTCAAATATAGCATTTCTGTCCTTACACAAGCAGAAAATATAAAGTAATAACATAAAACACATTTATCACTATGTAGCTGTTTTAAAAATTAAGAGATTTTTAAATTTGGCACACACCTACTAAAAGATTTGGCATTTAAAAGTATAAAAGAGTACAGGCCCTTTAAAGGAAGCTAGACAAGGAACAGCAACAATTAATTTTTATAAAACTTCACTTAGCTACTTACGATCTGGGATATAAAGAATAAGGAGGATTAGACACCATCAAGTGGCTTAATAATGACACGAGGATCAATACAATTATGGGCATCAGCTGGATAAACACAGAAAAACCTCCCTATAAAAAAATCATCAAAGAATAATAAATTGTAATATAACCACAACTGTCAATAATGCAATAGTTGTCATATATTTTTAGACACAAGAAGGGGAGACTGGGATCATCCAGTCAGTTCAGTGCTCTCAAATCTGCCTGCCAGGCTCCTGAGGTAGCTCCTAAGAGTGCAGGGTTCCAGGCACGCTGCCTGACTGACTTGAGAGCCCTTCTGCAAGCAGACCCTGTTCTGCACACTCGGAGGTCGTCCTCTCCAGTATCAGAGAAGCTACCAATGTGCCACCCTTGTCATGCTGCTTTCTGCTGGCTGGGAGGTGGGAGGTCGGAGGTGGGAGGTGGGAGGTGGGGTGAGGAGAAGCCCAACCTTCTAATTTCTAGTCTAGCACCCTTTCTCGCTGTCTTTCCACCTCATGCCTACAGCAAGTGAGTACCCACCATGTTAGAACAAAGCAACATTACTTCTAATTTAAAATTTCAGTATTCTCTCATTTTAGGATTAAAAAGTACCTCAACACACACAGAGTACAGGTGTGTCTTCACTAGAATCCAGAATACCAAATCTCCTGTCATGCTGCCCAGCCCTCCTCAGTGATCTGTACCTCCCATCCTTAAGGGGTTTCTAGTCTCCACTGCTAAAGGAAGCTCATTAGTCCTAAAACAACTTGTCCCCCGCTTTAGACAACTGTAACTTTTTTGTGGGCTGAAAGCTAACATGCTGTGATTTCTAATCATAACATAAACATACGTCTCCTCTTTCTTCTTCTCTTTCATGTCCACTATGTCGATGCTGATGTTGATGGCTATAACCAGCTCGGCCATTTGAAAATGAATGTACGCTACCTACAAATCAAAATTAAAAGCAAGGTTAAGTTGGGGGAGTAACTGTGGTCAGAAAAGTTGCGTTTTCTTTAACACTTTTAACAAATTATTAAAATAACAGATGTGCACTTTAAGTAGTGAATGTTAACTGTCCTCTCTGAGTGGGAAAGGTGGACAGACAGAGGATGATGCCTCCTGGACATGCTGTCCTTTTCAGCAAGGTACAGTTCCTCCCTTGGGGAGACTTGAGAGTGCCTCGGCAGCACTGCACACACAGAGGCCTTTCCTGTGCTTACAAACCTTCCGTGCTTCATCTGCAGCTTTGCTTTCTGCACTTAGATCAATCACAAACATCTCTAAAAATCAAAAGATAGCACTCTAGTTCATTTTGTAAAGCTATCTATTATACCACAGTATGGGTGGACTACAATTTATTCAAACATTCTCTTGCTGATGGATATTCGATTTCAGGTAAGCTGACAAACCAAAAATGGTCACTACTGACAAAGTAAGCTATGTTATAACAAGCAAAGGACAGCAGAGCAATCATCAGAAAAAAAATGATTCACTATTGCCTGGAAGATTTCTGATTGTTCCTAGCATACTCTCTGTCAAAATCACTAGTTTTAATAATTTTTATGATAATTATGTATTTGAATACATCATAGCTCAGATTACAGTTTCAATCATTAATTTACATTATATATCCTCTTTCCTTCAAGGATTATACATTATGTCCCATCAATGATTGCAATCCTCATTAATATTCAGGAAGGGCCCCTAGGCCAAATTGTATTCTCATTCATAAAGATCCTCCTAACTTTGAACAGCATGTGTAACTCACTACCTTAAGTAAAGCCTGGGACTATAATCTTAACTACTGTAGAGGTGCTACTCCCAAAGAAAATTACTTATAAACACAGTATGGGTGTTTATAATAGTCACAGTAAATGCACGTCGATTTAAAAGCTACTGATGCTGGTACCATGCAAGTCATTCAGGGATGTCACTGCATTACTGCTGTGATAGCCTAGTGCAAGTAATTATATCTTTCTTAATATAACAAGAGAATCCCAAAACTTTATTAACTATAAGTGAGATTTTTCACTATTTCATTAGAAACACGAGGACTTCCACATCTATCTGAAAAAGCAATCAAGAGTGTCATTAATTAAAAAACAAACAAACCAGTGTCGTTAATAAAATGTTTACAAGGATTGGAGAACCCCTATCAGCCATCTGGGTGTAGGGGAGGTCACATGATTGTAGCAGCATTTATTTACCTAAGACATAGCACTGGATTTCCAGCTTAGACTTCCTTTCTTCAGTGTTAGGTAAAATACAGAATATCTGTGTGCTTCAACTATTTTTTAATTAAAACATGTTCTAGAAAAGGGTAAACTACAGAAAAAGTAACAACACTATCACTTTTCTCCTCGCTTCCAGGGAAGGCACAGCAGGACCCTAACCAGTGAGAAGTACAAGGGAAAAAGGAAAGGTATCTCTAAAGAGTCAACAGGAGCAAGGGTCTTTTTACCGGCACAAAATGTGGTATTTAATTAATATGAAAGTACCTGAAGGAAATCCACCACCAAAAAATATATTGAACAGGTCTTCTGGGGTTATGTCCGCCTCACAACCTCTGTGGAAGTTGAACCTGCCATTGCTCTGGTTATTACAAGCTTGCTCTTCACTGCCAGTGAGGTCATACTGTTTTCGTTTCTCTGGATTACTTAAAACAGCATAAGCATTTCCAATCTCTGTAAGGTAATGAGTAGAAGTCAGTGAGCAAAGTTTCTATTTTCTACAAGATTGCTCTCTATTATCACTTAAAAAATCATTTGAAACTAATCAAGAAAATTATAAAATAGTGACAATTTTTAAAAAGATGTCAACTGCACATTTAAAAAGATGTGAACTGCAGTTGCACATATTATTTGTCAGTGCAACTTTTTACCCTGATCAGGCAAGTCCTACCATCTCAAGAGAAAGGAATGTCCATCTATTCTTTCTTAATACTGTGCTCTATCCATTAAAACTTCTGCTTGGAGATCCTAATTCACCAAGATTGTTCAAACTAATAACCAATAATCTATGGTGTTCCTACTAATTTTGCATGCAATATCTTATCACATGATCTGTTAATATCCCCAGTCCACAGCTGAGAACTGAGGCTCAAAATGGCTAAGTAACTTGGCACAATAAATATACCCTACTATTCCATGCACCTACCATAAAACCTAGATTTGCATACCAGTGCCACAGTGAGCTGTTCTAGTTCTGCAACATTTACTCTGCTTAAGACAGTAAGCTGCATGGAAGTACGGACTGTGTCTGTTTTCCCTCTATTATGCTGGGTCCGTCATAAAGTCTGAATTAGTTTTTTAATGACACATGTCCTCAGTTTACCTATCTCACTTTGTTATTTTATGATATTTATTCATAAAGAAGCTTATTTCTTCTTAGTCCCATATCCAAAGGAGCTTGGCACAACTGGCTATGAGAATGTCCTCTTGAGCGATGTATAAAAGCTGTAATACCCTCCATCTAAAAGCAGAAACTGCCTTGTTTCTGAACTTCTAATAATTTATTATTTCATAAATACAGCTTACATCTTAAACTAGACTATAAGGCTCTTGTAACGAATATGGGATATTTTTAAAAATCCTTTTTTGATTCCACGTGATGGGCGCCATAGGTACTATCCAAGCAAACAGATGATCGTTAAGTACTTGGTGTTAGAAGATTACACATTACACTGAATTTAATTATATACAGATAAACTGGAACTTCTGATGAGACTTCTCTAAAATTGGAATTCAGAGATGACAGCTTTCAAGTGGTTTGTGAATCTTGTTCTTTGAAAACATATGGTAGGTGGTTCATCTACCTGAGGATATATGGTCTCAAATGTTCTTCAGATTCTCAAAAGATCTGTGACTTAGAAATATAGCCACTATTTACAATGTTATTTCAATGGGAAACTATAAGCAGAGATCAAGAAAATGTACTTACAAGCAATACCACGGCATTAACTTGTATCTTTTTTTAAAAAAAGCCTATCATTCTGTGCTGAAGTTGTGGTTCCTGTGATAGGATCAGTTTTAGGGTTTAACATCAATAAACTAGGCTATTTCATGTAGTTTTGTAATGTGATTACTTTTAAAAGCATTAATGTACAGGCAACTCAATTCTATTTTAAGGCTTTCTTTCTTTAAAACTAATTAATTTCCAATTAATTTCCAAGCACAAAGATATTTTACATTGCTGAAAGACTATCACAAGCTATATATAATATTATCTGTAAAACAATTTACTCAGTGTGTTGTAAACAGAGTAATTTTCTATCCATTTGTTTTGTGTTATAGCTGCAGTCAGGATTTTTTTTTTTTTTTTTTGTCTTTTTGAGAAAAGTCTCACTATGCAGTTCAGGCTGGCCTTGAGCTCACTCTGTAGCACTGGCTGGTCGTGAACTTGCCTCAGCCTCCCAAGTGCTGGGATTACAGGCATGTGACACCACACCCAGCTCTTTCTTTTTTTTGTAGTTTCTTGTAATCTAAAGACTTAAATCCAACTTTTAATTTTGGTGTTCAAAAGACTTACACAATACCTGTCACTTATCTCACCAAAAATGCCTTCTACCTCATCCATTTTTCCTTAATTTTTTTTTTTTTAAATTTTGAGGCAACTATAGAATCACATACAATTGTAACAATACAGAGATCTTTTTACCTAACTTTCCCCAATGGTAGTATCACAGAAGGTTATAGTACAACATTCCAAACAGACAGATAGAGTCCGGAAGTGGAAGATTTTCACCACTTTACACTGCCCTTTCAGAACTCTCACTTCCCCAGCACCTGTCCCTAACCACTGACAACTATTCTCCATTTTGGTAATTCTGTTGTTTCAAATATATATAAATTGAGTAATACTGGAATGGGGTCATGGGATATGAGTGGAAACTTGACTTTCCCAGTCAGCACCGCTCAGAGACTGCTGCAGGCCGACCTATGTCAGGAGGTCAGCTACGGGATGACTGAGTAGTCTGCCAGGGTGTGGACAGTGCATTGTTTCCTTAACCATTCATCATTCTACCACACTTGGGTGTTTCTAGTTTTGAGCCATTACAAACAAAATGGTCTATATGTAAGCATCAACTTTCATTTCTCTGGGATAAATGTCCTGGAGTGCATCGCTACATTGTACAGTTGGATGCTCCATTGACAAGGCAGAGCACACCAAGCTTTGCCTCCACAACAGGGCTCAGAGGTGACCTTATTTCTCTAGGCATTAGGATACATGGGTAGTGGTATTGCATCTTAGCTCCACTGTGAATTTCCCTAATGGCTAATGAAGGATACTGGAAATCTTTCTAGGTGCCTCCTTGCCATCTGTGTATCATCTTCATGAAGTATCTTTGACTCTTTCAAGTTTTAAGAGTTTTTTCTGTACTCAAGATGTTAGTCCTTTGTCATATATGTGGTTGGCAAATATTTTCTCATCCTGTAGCTTGGCTTTTCATCCTCTCAAAAGAGTACAGCAAACTTCAAACTTACCAACTTTTCCTTCTATGAAATGACATTAGATCTTAAGAAGTAATTGCCTAACCCTACACCCTAAAGATTTGTTCCCTGATTTTTTTCTAAAAGTTAAAAGTGTCATTTTTGTATATCTACATGTGATCCATTTTGAGAGTTTTTTTTTAAAAGAAAATAAAATTAGATAAAGCATGAGACTTTGGTTAGTTACTTTTGCCCATCAGTATCCAATTACACTAAAATCAATTTTTGAAATGGCTGTTTTTCCCTATTGAATTGCTTTTTTTTTTCCTCTGGTACCAGGAACCGAACTCACGACCTTGCACTTGCCAGGCAGGCGCTTTTGCTGCTGAGCTAAATCCCCAGCCCCCTTGAATTACTTTTGCACCTTTGTTAAAAATCACTTGAGTAAGCTGGGCATAGTGGGGCATGCTTATAATTCAAGCAGTCTGGAAGGCTGAGGCAAGCTTGAGTCCAGTGGGCAACTAGTGACTCTGCAAGGCCGTTTCTCAAAATGTAAAATTAAGAAAAAAAGTGTGTGGGCGAGGGTGCTGGGGATGCAACTCAGTACAAAGGCTCAGGGAGCAATCCTCAGTACCAAAGGTGAATTGAGCGCAGTCCAATGGGTCTATTCCTGGATTCCCTGTCCTGTTCTGTTGGTCTGAACGTCTGTGCCTCAGCCAAAACCACACTTTGGATTACTATAGCTTCGCATCAAGGCCTCAAGCCACTGATTATTCCCACTGTTCTAATACTGTATAGCTACCGAGGGTCCTCTGCCTTTCATACACATTTTAGAATGAAACTGTAAGTCTCACTAGGGTTAGGACGGCAATTGCTAAATCTGCATTTCATCCAGTTGTGACCTGACATCCTCATTATGAGCTCTTGTAATGATGTACAGTATTTTGCTCCATTCATTTATATCTTTTCTGATGTTTTTGTCGCATTGTGTAGCTGTTGGCATAAAAATCTTATACAACCAAACTGTGCTAAAGGTACGTATGAAAATGACAAAATATGCATTATTCTGTAAAATATACACTAATAAATGTACAGAAGTTTTTCAAAACTATTGTTAAATTTGTTTTTTAATTATAGTAAATGTTAATGTGTTTTTAATTTCAGTGTCTATATGTTTATTGCTAATATAGAGACATGGACTTGATTTTTGTATGTGTATTTTATGTCCTGCAATCTTATGGAATTCACTTATTAGACTGCTGTAGATTCCATAGGGTAGGAATTTTCCTCTCTTCTCTATGTACCTTGTATTTCTTTTTCTCACCTTAAGCCAGTGGCTGTAACTTTCAGCATTGAGTTTGAGGGGAGATTTTTGCTTTGTTCTTTCTTAATCTAGTCTTTCATCATTAAATATAACACTAGTTGTAAGTATTCTGTCATTACTTCTTTTTTGAGATGGGGTCTCACTACGTAGTTCATGCTGGCTTCAAATACACATGGATCCTCCTGCCTCAGCCTCCCAAGTGCTAGGATCACAGATGTGCGCCATCACTCCTCGCTCTATCATTCCTCTTTATCAAGATGAGGCAGTTTCCTTCTATTCCTATTTTTCTAACAGTTTTATCATGAATGAGTGCTAAAATTTTTCAAAAGCTCTTACTGCACTGATTGATATAATCATGGGCTTCTGCCTTCTTTGGCCCATTAATACAATGGATTACACGAATATCCAATTGGTGAACAAAATTCAATTGCCTTATATACTTGTTGTACTAATATTCAGAACCACCTCAGACAAGTCTTGGAATTTGGGTAGGGTATACACTTTTTTTAATATATTGCAACATTCTCATATTTTGTTAAGTATACTTGTGTTTACTCCAGAAATGATTCTGGCCTTTAGATTTCTCCTTTTGTAATGTGTTTGGTTTTGATGGTAGGATAAAATGAACTGAGAAATATTTTTAGGTTTTTTTTCATTTTGTTTAGACAGCTCTCACTGTGTAGTTCAGGCTGGCCTCAAACTCTTGGTGATCCTCCTGCCTCAGCCTCTTGAGCACTGGGATTACAGCTATGAGCCACCATGCCTGGCTGAGGAATGTTTCTCTTCTATTTTGGGTGGGGAGAAATTACTTAGAACTGCTTTTAATTCTTCTTTAGAAGTTTGTTAGAATTTTCCAGAAAAAGCATTTGAGCTTGGAGATTTCTTTGGGAGCACTGCTTTCTTTGGGAGTGTTGTGTTGTATTTTTATTTT